GACAGTTCTTTATTGGTGTATAAGTATACCACTGATTTCTGAATATTAATTTTGTATTCTGCTACTTTTCCAAATTCATTTATTATATCTAGTAGTTTTTTGGTGGAATTTTCAGGGTTTTCTATGTAACTGTCATGTCACCTGTGAAGAGTGACAGTTTCACTTCTTGAGTGATCGCTCTGACTAGAACTTCCTAGTACTATGTTGAATAAGAGTAGTGAAAGAGGTCATCCCTATCTTGTTCCTGATCTTAAAAGCACTGCTCTCAAGAAGACATACAAATGGCCAACGTTTATATGAAAAGATACTCTACTTCACTAGCTATTAGGGAAATGCAAATCAAAACAACTGTGAGATACTGTCTCACAGCTGTTAAAATGGCTATTATCAACAAAATAAGTAATAACAGTGAGGTTGTGGAGAAAAGGCAACTCTCACTGACTGCTGGTAGCAATGTAGACTGAAACAGCCACTATGGAAAACAGTCTGGCAATTCCTCAAAAATTTAAGAATAGTGTTACTTGCTGACCTAGAAATCCCTCTCCTGTAATAATATGAACAATAAAGATTTATTATAAAAAACACATAATCATATCAATCTATACAGAAAAAGCAACTGACAACTGACAAAACCCAGCACCAATTTTGATAAAAGCTCTCAGTAAGATGGGAATAGAGGGATCAGACTTCAATGCAATAAAAGCTATATATGAAAAACCTACAGTCATCACTTTTTATATCCATCTATATCTATCTATCTATCTATCTATCTATCTATCTATCTATCTATCTATATTATTGATTTTTTAGAGAGAGGAAGGGAGAGAGATAGTTAGAAATATCGATGAGAGAGAGTCATCGATCAGCTGCCTCCTATAGACCCCCCATTGGGGACATGCCCACAACCAAGGTACATGCCCTTGACCGGAATCGAACCTGGGACCCTTCAGTCCACAGGCTGACGCTCTATCCACTGAGCCAAACTGGTTTTGGCAAACATCATACTTAATGGGCAAAAACTAAATTCTTTCCCCTTAAGATCAGGAACAAGACAGGGATGTTTGCTTTCACCACTCTTCAACATTGTGCCAGAAGTCCTAGCCACAGTGATCAGACAAGAAAAAGAAATAGCAGGCATCCAGGTTGGAAAGGAGGAAGTAAAACTGTCATTATTTGCAGATGACATAATAATGTACATAGAAATCCCTAAAAAATCCATAAAAAAACTACTAGATTTAAAAACAATGAGCTTGGCAACATATTGCCAAAATTATTATACATAAATTGTTGGCGTTTTTTATACACCAATTATTATCCATAAATTGTTGGCATTTTTTATACACCAATAATGAACTCTCAGAAAGAGAAACCAAGAAAACAATCCCACTTACCATTGCAACACAAAAATAAGGTACCTAGGAATAAACTTAACCAAGGAGGTAAAGAGCTATTCTTAGAAAACTATAGGCCACTGCAAAGAGAAATAGAGGATGATATGAACAAGTGGAAGAATATACCGTGTTCATGGATTAGAAGAATTAACTTACTAAAATGTCCATACTACCCAAAGCAATCTATAAATTCAATGCAATCTCTATTAAAATAAAATGGCATATTTTACAGATTTAGAATAAATATTCCAAAAACTTATACAGAACCTAAAAAGACCCCAAATAGCCTCAGCTATCTTGAGAAAAAAGAACAAAGTTGGTGGGATCACAATACCAGATATCAAACTATATTACAAAGCTATTGTAATCAAAAGAGCTTGGTATTGGCACAAGAACAGGCATATCAATCAATGGAATAGAACAGAAGGCGCAGAAATCAGCCCATGCCTTTATAGTCAATTAATATTTGACCAAGGGGCAAGAACATAAAATATAATCTCTTGCCGGGACCAGTTTGGCTCAATGGATAGAGCATCGGCTTGGGGACTGAAGGGTCCTGGGTTCGATTCCGGTCAAGGGCATGTACCTTGGTTGCGGGCATATCCCCAGTAGGGGGTGTGCAAGAGGCAGCTGATCGATGACTCTCTCTCATCGATGTTTCTAACTCTCTCTCTCTCTCTCTTCCTCTCTGTATAAAATCAATAAAATATATTTAAAAAAAATTGTAAATTAAAAAAAAAATAAAATAAAATATAATCTCTTCAATAAATAGTGTTGGAAAAATTGCAGAGAAACATGCAAAAGAAATGGAAATACATCACCAACTTACATCATACAGAAGAATAAACTCGAAATGGATAAAAGACTTAAATGTAAGTTGGAAACTATAATTATCATGGAGGAAACCATAGGCAGTAAAATCTCAGACATCTCTTGTACCAATATTTTTGCCAACATATCTCTGAGGGAAAAAATAAATGGGACCATGTTAAACAAAAAAGCTTCTGCAGAGCAAAATAAACCATCAACAAAATGAAAATGGAACCCATCATACCGGAGATCATATTTGCAAATGATTAATCAGAAAAAGGGTTAATTTCCAAAAAATATAAAGAACTTTTTCTTTCTTTCCATTTTTTTATTGATTATGGTATCACATAATTGTCCTCATCCTCCCAATCCCATCCCAAACCCCTCCCTACATATGCCATCACCCCTCCCCCGCTTTGATGTATTAGAGTACACTTGGCTCAGTGTCAACCTGCCACCTTTTGTTCATTTTTGTGGGCCAGTGAATGGTGAGCTTAACGTGAGGCATCTGATTACCTCCAATGGCCTCACCTGGAAACAATCTTGGCCTGCATTCTGTACCTTGGGTGTGGGAAAATCCGTCCCCAAATAGGAGTCTATCGTTGAGGCTTTTGCTGGAGCAGTTGGGAGGATCAGGTTTGGTAAGGACAGGTGTGGTTGGTCTGAACTATTGGTAAGGTTTTAAGGCCTTTCACACACTGACCATCGTAGCATTGGGTTGCTGGTCTATATTGTCAGTTGGGGTTCTCACAGCAAGGAGGTCCAATCACATTTGCTTCTAGGTTACTTTTACCAGACCCTTTATGTCTGAATGGGATAGCCTTTTGACTTTCCAAGCTCTCCCTCTATCTCCAATTTTCCCCAAATCTCATCCCATTTCTGGGATTTTTCAGTTGCCCCAGATCAGCAATTAATTGCCCAGCATCATTAATCTCTTGTCCCATGACCGAGACCAACATGGTTATTAGCATCCTATACTTGATATTGGGGTTGGACTGCAGTATCTTCGATTTTTCCCTGCAGTGAACGTGGTCAAATGAGGCCTTCAAAGACAGGGACATACTGGTAATCCATACCAGCCTAGAAATTTTCACTTGGTGGAGATTAAAAAAAAATAAATCTTTACTTGAGGATATTTTTCCATTAATTTTTTTAGAGAGAGGGAAAGACAGAGAGAAATATAAATGTGGGAGAAGCACATCAATTGATTATCTCCTGCATGAATCCCAACCAGGGCCCAGGCGGGGAGGGGGGGGGAAGGACCCTACAACTGAGGTATGTGCCCTTGACAAGTATCGAACCTGGGGCCCTTGGGTCTGTAGACTGATACTTTAGCCACTTAGTCAAACCGGCTAGGGCAGTAGGTGGAGATTTTGATGCCACTAGTCTATTTGGAAGCTTGGCCTGTTTCAGAAACATCATCCATTTTGAAAGAGATCTGGGTTCAAGAAATATTTTGCTTTTTAAAAAAACTATACAAGAAAAACAATACAACCCGAGTTTCAGGGAGATAAGAGGGAATAGTAACAACCATGGCAAAAGAGAAAATAAAGGCTTCATCTAAAAGGGACAGGCTGCTACTCAGCTCTAGCTGACTATTCACATATGATGTCTCTTACTTTTAAGTTCATGCAACTAATTTAAAATGTGTCAAAAAGACATGTCTGAGGATTGGCTATAGGTTAGCTTGCAATATTGATCTAACCCAACCTCCAACCTTGGGTATAATGGGTAAAATCACACTCACTTAGTGCCCTGATATTTCCTAGAGGTCACTCAGTTGACAGAACAGGAATTACAACTCCGATTTATGGTTAATTATAATGGGAGAATTCTGGTTTTCCTTAGAGAATTTCATACATTTAGGTAAGTCAAGTATCCCATTAAGTGTTAAATATTACTTAATGGCAGATTTAAAGGCATGTGGCTTTCCCTTCAATAGTATAAAACATTATAGAAAGTATTTTCCATACAACACATGCCACTCCACATCCAAGAAGTTATCAATATAAAGTATAAATTTTTTGCTCCATCCATATGGTATAGTTTTAAAAAAATAACTTTGAAACAAAACATTATGAAACTTCTCTGTAGGTTAGGGTATCATCTCTGCTTTAATATTTTGAATTTAAAGTCTTTTTGACATATTCAGTATAATTATCAAAGATACTGGGGAACATTAAATAGTTTTGTTTTTTTAGTTACATTTTGCTGTTTTGTTGAACTTTCAAGATTCTCATAAGTTTTAAATAATCTAGTATTATTACTTTTTAATGAGCTTGAGTAGGATATAGTAGTGTGCGAAGTGGCAGGTGGCCAGAGAGGAGCCCAAGCCCAGGCTGGGATTCATCCCAGCCCCGCTGTGTCTGCTTGTGCCTGCTGCTGCTGGGTAGTGCTGCTGGGGAGGCAGGAGAGGCTTGCTCCACTTCAGCTGCATTCCAGCTGTGAGCCTAGCGTCTGGCACAGTCCATCAGCTGAACAGCACTCCTGCTGTGGGAACACATTGACCACAGGGGGCAGCTCCTGTGTTGAGCGTCCGCCCTCTGGTGGTCAATGCACACCATGCAATGGGTCAACTGGTTGCTTAGGGTCATATATATATATATCAATCAATGCTAAGAATTAGGCACAAGGAAGGCTCCCCAAAATATATAGCATTAATTACTTACAGGGTCATACATAACAAACAAATTTGTAAAAGGTCAATATGCAAAAAATTTTTTAAAAGTGAGACTTTTAATGCTGAAAACAGGTAAGGGAAGGAAGAAAGGAAGATTCAGCAAAGAACACACAAATCAGTTCATTAACATATATTTGCGCTTTATTGTAATTTTGCATCCTGAGATAATAAAATACTATATCTGACAAATGAACGATGACAGAAGCAGCAGTGAAAATTTCCGAGAGGCAGGTATTCTTCATTTTGGCACAGCCATATATAGGTTAAGTTCTTGCAGGGGGTTACTCCAGAACTCAAATGAGAAAAAAGGAACTCATTCCAGAGGCTATGTAACAATACAAGATGCATGGAAGTTCTTGGTTTGAATGGACATAGCCACTTCTATTCTTTTCTAGAAAAGTTGTCCCAATAGGAATCCTCTGCCAAAAAATAGAAATCTTAAAATTTTCAAACAGATGTTTTGATTAATGCCTGCTTTGGCTACCAGGATTTCTCGTTTTTGCAGGTGAGACTCATATTTATATGTGGTTAGTCCAAGGATGGCAAACTAGCTCATAGATTATATAATTTCAAACATTTGTAACTTGTTTCAAAGTCCAGGCATTAAAACAATTTTATACAATTTGTTTACTAGAAAAATAAAAAATTATGCCAAGGAAAATGCAAAGAGAATAAGCAGGAATAAAAGGAACTTTGAGAAACTATTGCCTTGACTCATGACATTGAGTTTGTGAGCAGAACTACTTTAAACCTCAGAAACTGATATTTACTCTGATGCTAGAACATGACATTATAACACTTTCCACATTTGCAATCCTATATGTGTGTATGTATGCTTTACATATACATCTAAATAAATTAGCTTCGTTATATAATTCTGAAACAAACAAAACTGAAGGCAAGTTCTAACCCAAAGTTATATAGTTCCATCTTGCCAAAAACACAAACACATAATCTAGCATTTCATTATTTATGGATTGGGTAAGCAGCCTGTGGAGAGGGTCGAGTAATCTTAGTTACTTTATAAAAGTGGATCCCAACATTTCACCACAAGAATCCCTTTTTTATTCCTTCCCATATTTTCAATTATTTTGTTTACTAAATTGCATGTAATAGGCTTTCTGATTTTTTTATTATTCTGCGACCATTCACAGCTTCTGATCAGTGTGTCATAACTACTGTTACATAGAATTGAAAAAATGTAAGAAAAATGCATGGAAATTCAATGTCTTAGTTGACTTGTGCAGCAAATCTATGATCTCTAGTATACTTTTTGAAATATGGAAAAAGATTCAAGGATGCCTTTTCTGCTTTCTTCATCTGCCCCTAGTTGGGAACCATGGGTTTATATCTTTCTGCTTTTCTTCCCTAAATCAAGTATTAGCATAACAGCAAACATAACATAACATAACATAACATAACATAACATAACATAACATAACACAATTACCCATGTTAACACATAGGGGATTGATAAAATTTACTACTGAAAATCAGATTTACTGCAACATTCATTCTACAGCGTTTAACTGAGAAACCATAACAGATTTAAAGCAATTTATTTAAAAATACAAAACTATGATGTCCAGTATATCTTCCAGTCAACTTAAACACATTAATATATGAAAAAAATCTTCAATTCCCCTGTGAGGTAGAACAAGAATATTGTCCTCACTTATACAATGAGGACACGAGGTACAGAGGAATTAAGCAGCAGAGCTAAGAACTGAATCAACCAGAAGTGACTTGGGTTTGAATTTCATACCACTTTCCTTTCCATTCAATATTATCAATTTATTCCAACTGATCTTTTTGAGGATGTGGGGCTTAATAAGTCACTGAAACAGATAACGGATAGGATATGAAACTTTTTACATTAATGTTAAAGTAGGTCCTCCCATATCTCCATTGTTGCTACAGCTATAATTTTTGTCTGGATACCAACTATGTAGTTAGGTTCCACATAGGCTAACACCACAGACCTGTGCTCAGTTCCTAGGAAAATTATATTAATTATTTTTTAGGTTTTTTTTCTTTATTGATTAAGGTATTATATATGTGTCCTTACCCCCCTCCATTGTCTCCCTCCCCCCCCCCCCCCCCATATAGGGCTGAGGTCTAGCAAGCATCAGGTTCTTTAAGTCTGTGCGATATGAATACATACCAGCTAGGAGCCAGTTGGTGAATCAAACTTTTACTGCATGCAAGGCACTGTGGGAGTTCTCACAAAGCATAGTAGATCCAAGAAAAAATCATTCTGAGATTCTATAGGGTAAAAATTTCTTAAGGATTCCTAAAATCACAGAATGTGATTAGGTGATTTCTAATTTTCTGTCTAGCTCTAGGTTCAACCTCATGGTTTTACAGAAAAAGAGATTGACATGTAATTTAAGTGACTTTCCTGGAGCCCATAAAATTAGATAATTTCCTCATATAGTATGAATCTGACAAAATCCACAGAAAAGAAAACATATTCTCAGGTTGCCATCATCAACCTTATTTTTAGACCACGTATTACCTAAACAGGTAATGTTACTAAACAATATATTTTCTGTGGAAAATTTTCCTATAGTTCACCATTTAAAGGAACCCAAACAATTTGACATTGTTGAAAAATGGATTTTTAAAGTAGAATTTTAAAGGCATAGGAGGACCTAATTTCAATAAATTTGAGCATTTTACCATCAAATTAGCAAAAATATTTCCACTATGTGAAACTGCTCCCATTAAAGATATAATTTCTATATTATTCTAGATAAAAATAAATTCTAATGAAATATTATTCAAATAGTGAGGTTTTTTTTTTAAAATATATATTTTTTTTATTTATTGATTTTTAGAGAGAAGAAGGGGAAGGGAGAGAGAGAAACATTGATCCCGTGTTCCACCTATCTATGCCTTCATTGGTTGATTCTTGTTTGTGTCTTAACTGGGGATTGAACCCACAATCTCAGCAAATGGGGATGACGCTCTAAGCAAGTGAGCAAGTAGTAGTGAGTTAGTGAAGTTTGATTTTGTAAGTGGTGGGTTACTTGTATAAGCAAAATTAAAATGTTAATAATTTTTAAAGCTCTCATATACTTGAAAAAACACACCCTATTTTTCCAAAAGCTTACAGATGTTGTAGAACTTCACTCCAATTATTACAAACAAAAATAAATTTCATTAAAAATGGCAGAGTACTAAGTATTAACAGTTCAACTAATCAGACAGTATTTATAGGTCATAATAATATGAATAGTATGCCTACTCAGTACTTAACTGGGTTTTGGTGGGGCTTCAATCCAAGACCATTGTTCTAGAAACATGTTAAATTACACTTCCACTAGCATTACAATTAAACTAGTTTTGTGAGTGATGGATAGTCTTATTCTGTAATATTTTGTCACTAATAGATTACATGATTAGGGGAAAAGAAAAAAAACAGGCTTTAAATAACAAGTAGGAGAAATATAATGTGATTGTGAAATATACTTAGTCAAAAAGATGGTTTTAAATCTAATTCCTACCAATTCATCATTCTGCCTCCTTTCACATAAATGCTAATTCTATTCAAAAAAGACAAGGCACTTTCCCATCTACTTCTAACATTTGACTACAATGGTCTCTTTCCTAAATTAACATGAGGGGTTAAAAGGGAACAAAGAATAGTTGAAAAGGATTAAAGTTTATTTCATTTTATATACAATCCAGGTGCTTAAAGGGGTAATGGGGGTGGAGCTGCATAAAGAAAAGTTAGAGAAGAACCAGTTTTAACTTGTAATATTAAAGCTTTGTGAGATTTATTTACTTTGGCAAATACATGTTATTTTCTCTGGAAATGACCACAGCAGGTTTAATAAAAGATTATTATGCAGCAAAGAAATTAAAATTTACTTTCTTCAATTAAAAAACAACTTTCACAAAAATATTTTACTAACTTGATGAAAATATCCAGGCACATTCTACCTTGAAGATAAAAGAAAAAAAGACCAGGGGGAGAAAGTAATGACCTCTAGTGTGCTCTGTCATTTTAGCATTCACTGTTGCCAATTTCATTGAAAAGAAAACAACCCATCCCCCAAAGCATTCTAAAATTTTCATTCAAATGAAAATTAGCCCCAGCAAATAGCTTGAAAAAGCAGTCATATGAGGAATTAAAAAAAAGAATACTGGTTATTTTCTGAATAGATCAAGAAAATAAGATGAGTCAACCAGCATAATGATCAATAAAGTAATACATTTAAGAGCAATTAGAGTAGGTTTTAAAATTAAGTTTTACATATTGGCAAATGGTTTTTATAACAAATACTAGGGTAAATTGAACTATACTCTGTCACCTTCGGATGCACTCTATTCCTGTTTCAATATTTATATCATGGAAACAATTCACTACTTTCTGCTGTTCTTTGAGTAAAACCAAAAGTGATTTATACATGGTAGAAAAAGTTACTATGACCATCACATGGCTAACTGCTAACTTTATATAAAAAATGAAATTTTATGGTTTGACATTTACAAGTAATTATTCTATCAGTGATAATTATAAATTTTGTATTATTCTGCAAATCAATTTTGGTATTAAACTGTTATAGTTTGAAGCATAAACCTGATGATATCAGCCGGAACATAAACCACAGATAAAATGTTTACCTGACCTTAGCTATAAAAAAAGACATTTGGTATGCGTTTTCAGAGGTTTCCACCTTGTCTATAAAAATACATCTTCAGTTGTGCAGCAGAGAAACACAATATTTGCAGACACACGCAACATATGAAAAGTTAGATTCTGAATGGCTAGGTGGCATGGTAATGGAGCTCTACAAAGGGGGGGTGAAAAAGTGTTTGCGCAAAAATTATAGTCACATATCAAATAGAGTTTCCTTTTCCCCTCTTCTATTACTAGTGTAAGACTGTGAATGTCAAAGTAGGCATAAATTTTACAAGTGGCTTTAAAACGTTTGACCTTGTATGAAGAAATGATTGTTCTCTTCACTGGGATGAATGCTTGCCTAAAAAACTTTACTAAAAGCAATAAAAGGTAATAAATATAATATTATTCAGTGCCAGGTAATTTTATTTTTTAGCACTAAGAATTACAAATAATGCCTATATATTGAAAAAATGCAAATTCTAGAAGAATTAGTGTGGTGCTCTCACTTATCTTAATTGTGAAGAGAAATATGCACATATCAATGAAAAGGCTATATATGGGGTGAATTTATAAAGTAAAATTTTGGTTTAAATACTTGTCTTTCCTTATTTATAATATCAAAATGTTGAAAAAAGATCCTTAAAAATAAGATTAAGAATATTTTATCAGTTATGATTCAGCCACTACATATACTTTAGGTACAGTTTTTCAATTAGCTCTCTCTTTTCTAAAGTAGAATACCAGAACTCCAAAAGGGGGTTAACAGTGACATTCATGGGGATCTACACACCATCTAAGCCATTTGAAATCTTAAAATACTCCTTACAAGTCATAATTGTGTGTATTTTCAAACAAGGGAAAGGAAACATTAAAAGAAATAGATAAGAAAACTGAGGCTGTGAAATGTGTCACATGTCAAATGAATTTTTCGGGGGCTGGAAATGGAGGACAAAACTAGAACTACTGGATTAAATGGAAAAAATCAGGTTCTTGGTTTCAGGTGCAAGGCAGAATGTCTCAAATTGTTTCAATTTTAATCAACTCATTACAAAGGGCAACCTTGTTCTACAGCTGAAAATTTTAACATGCTTATTATGGCTTTGCCATACAACAGCATGTTAACAGTATGTACATTCCAAAGGATTCTTACAAACTTCAATAATATTAAAATCTATGCAGAATTGTTGGCAATACAGTAAGAGCAATATTAAATTCTGTAAACCATGGCATACCGCATTGTACATTATGCAAAGAGACAATATTTACAAGTCTTTAGGAGTTTAAATATTTTATCCACTAACATAAGTGATAATTTAGCTAAGTGCAGGACAAAACCAGTGCTATTAATTGCATGTCCTTTAAAAGCAGGAAAGAGTAAAACCATTGTTAAAAGCTACTAATAGCTTATTTATATATGTTTAATATGGGATTACAGAGCATTGAAGTAGCCTAGAAAAATGATGCCTATTTAGAAACAGCAAGTAGGAAAATCATAAGGCAGCATGCTTAGAATAGTTTTTGTGTTTTTTTTTTAAATGCCAGCACTAATGTTTTATCTTTAATGGCAACTATACATATACACATATATGTGTGTATTTATTTAAAAATCGAGAGTGTAAAACACAAGCCTCATTGAACAACAACAACAAATAAAAGATGTGCAAATTTTCTTTTTAAACCAACACAAAAGTGTGAGGAAAATACTCTACCATTATAAAGAATAAGTTGAACACAGCAAAGGAGACCATCTTCATTCCAAAATCATCTACAAGGCACTAAGGGTAGGAAATGACAGGTAACACACAAGTGACTGATTAAAATTCCTCAGTCAGGTCGGAATATGGGATATTTTGGTAAGAATTCTATTAGTATTACCTGCAAAATAAAAACAAATAAGAATATTTGACATAATAATTTTCATTTATCGATAGTATAACGTACATATATCCCAGAAAATTTATACTCATTTTTCAAAGGTTTACTAGTATATTTTTCTGGTGCTATAAAATAAGTGAAATATATAAAACTAGTGGCCTGGTGCATGAAATTCATGCATTGGGGGAGGGGAGGGTCCCTCAGCCTGGCCTACACCCTCTCCAATCTGAGACCCCTATCACAATCCAGAACCATTGGCTCCTAAGCGCTCACTTGCCTGCCTGCCTGAAGGCTCTAACTGCCCCCCTCCTGGCCTGGTTCCCCTAACTGCCTATTTGTTCTCCCCTCCTGGCTCAATCCCCCTAACTGCCTATCTGCTCTCCACTCCTGGCCTAAACCCCTTAGCTGCCTATGTGCTCTCCCTTCCTCTCCGGGCCTTCAGACCCCGGCACAAGAGTGATGAGAACTGTCTGCCAAGGCCCTGCCCCCATCCTGATGCCACCCCCTTTCCCCCCTCCTCCCTCCAGGCAGCTCCACAGGCCTCTGCAGGGTGTGTGTGTGTGTGTGTGGCGCCCCCTGTGGCAGCCTCATGTCCTGGTGGCGCATGTCCCTGTCCCTGTCCCTGTTCACCAGTTCCTGTGCGCATGCAGCCTGGTCCTGACTGTGACACCATTAGGACCAATTAGCATATTACCTGTTTATTATATTTACCACATTTTTTTACATTGTAAATTAAATCAAATTGGCAAATATAATTACTTACTATAGATAACTACTTATAATTACTTACTGTAGTTTTTATTACCTGATTTAAAATAACTATTTGTTTAGGTGAAGAAAAGTAAACCCTATTACTTTATTACGTCCTTCCACACCTTCCCCCTCCCCCCGCCCCCCCCCCTTTTTTTTTTTAGCAAAGTGGAAGAAATTAAAATTGTGCTATACGGAATAGAAAAATACCTTCATCTATATTACATCTATATATTTTTCTATTAAAGCTGCTATTTTCTTGAGTATTACTATCTTTTACAAGTTGTTTGTAAAAAATAATAAAGTGTCCAAATAGATTAAAACATTTTTATTAAAGGTTTGAAAATATAATAATGAAAAACTAAGATATTTGTAAACTTACATAAATTTAATATGTAAATTTATAATAGATTTTAGATTTGTGGTCATTTGTACATTTCCCCCATAAAACTATTCAAAGTGGAGAAAGATACCATAACAATCCTTATTTAGGCAATGGAAATGGAATGTTGATTATTAAATATATACTGAATGTCAACAATTTGAAATTTGGATAAATTTCATATTCTTTTCAATATTAATGATGCTGAATTTATCACATTGGTTATATGTGAATTTGTATTTTATGATTAAGATTGCCTAGCTTTCAGTAAAAAAAATATAGAAATTACAGTTTCTTTACTAAAAAATAACAGCTAAGAAAAAAAAGGCAGGCAAATGAATCCAGAAATCAGTTCCTATATTAAGCAAGATTCAACAAAATTACAGCTGTGCCCATCACCATATGCAATGGTTTGCACCTATGTTAAAAGATTAAAGTTGTGCAATATTTTCTTTTTTAAAAAACAATAATTGTTTAAAAAAAAACTTTAGCAACTTAAAAATATATGTTTTTATTTATTTCAAAGAGAGGAAAGGAGAGGGAGAGAGGGATGGAAACATCAATATGAGCAAAAATCATTGATCAGCTGCCTTCTGCATGCCCCCTACTGGGGATGAAGCCCACAACCTGGGCATGTACCTTGACCAGGAATCAAACCATGGCTTCATGGTTCATAGGTGTGTGCTCAACTAATGAGCCACACTGGTCAGGCTTTTTTTTTTTTTTTTTTTACAAAAAAATAATTTATTGATTTTTGGAGAAAGAAGAATGGAGAAGAGAGGAGCATTGATGTGAGAGCATAACACTGATCAGCTGCCTTTTGCTCACCCCCTATCGGTGAGCCCGCAATCCGAGCACGTACCGTGCCTGGAAAATGATCCAGCAATCTTTTGGTGCATGGGATGATGCCCAACCAATGGAGCAACATTAGCCAGGTCAGTGTGCAATATTTTCTTTTTTTAAAAAAATATTTTATTGATTTTTTTTAATAGAGGGGAAAGGAGAAGGACACAGAGTTAAAACATCGATGAGAGAGCAACATCAACCATTTGCCTCCTGCACACCCCCTACTGGGAATGTGCCCACAACCAAGGTACATGTCCTTGACCGGAATTGAACTTGGGACCCTTCAGTCCGCAGGCCGATGCTCTATCCACTGAGCCAAACAGGTTAGGGCCAGTGTGCAATATTTTCATCTGAGCACACTAGCTGAGATTTTTCTAAGCTCTAAATAATTGCTAGCTTTCAAGAGATTTTATGTTGGTTACAAATCTAAAGAAGGTAGAAGAAAACCTCTATGTTCTAACTGATTAAAGTTCAGCCTGTGGAGAAAAAAAGTAGAAAGATGATTTGACAAATGGTAAATGTAGTAAAATGTAACAATTTGGATGGTATCAACAATAGTTTAATTAAAAAACAATTGCATACTTACATACTCCATCATATTGCTAGTCTCACATTTTCTTTTAGTCAATTTCCAGTGTAAAGCAAGCTAAGAAAGTACAGTTTGTTAAGAATTTTGATATCAATTTATACTAATTATTACCAATACATTTGAATAAATCACTGAAAACAATACAAGAATAAGTACAAGATTTAAAAAAGCATTTAAAAATACCTGGTAAAGAATATACATTGAAAATTAAGTATTAATTCTCTAATCCATTCTTTTTTAAAATTTTATATTATTGTTTAAAGTATTGCAAATAGTAGTACATATGTCTCCTTTTTCCCCCCATTGATCTTCTCCCATTTTCCCCCATCCCCCAACATATGCCCTCACCCGCCCCCCCCCCCCCCCCAGTGTCTTGCGTCCACTTGTTATGCTTACCGTATATGCACCGTATTTTCCGGCATATAAGACGACCCCCTAATTTTTATAGTTAAAACATATGTTTAGGCCTATATTCGCTGTATAAGACTACCCCCCACTTCTGAGGCAACTTCAGTTCTTTTTTTAATAGACCGCCTTTCTGACTCTGGCCAATCTGAGCAGGCTTTTTTTCGTTTCAAAAGTCGTCTTATACTCTGGAAAATAAGGCATACTAATCCATTCTTTTGTAGCCTGAAGAATTCTCATTTTTTTTCAATTCAGTAATACAAATATATAAATGGGGTACTTACTTGCTTAAATTTCTTACCTTGTGATATAATCTGTTATTTTCCCATTCTAATAACTTCTGAATTGATCTTCTGGTCTAAGAGTAAAAATCGAGACTTTGTTACAAGATGACCTAAGGAACTTTATAAACTATGTGCATATATATTTTTCTGCTTGTTTGTAAGATCCCATTATTTTCTCCTCTTGTTTTTCTACTAGAAATTAGATAAAAATACAATGTAACTGACAGAAACTGCCAAAAGAGGAGCAATATTTCGGGTGGTTATTATAATAAGATCATATTCCCTCCCTCCTTCATATATACATATACATACACATACATACTTGCATATGTGATATTTTAATATATGCATTTCAAAAGGAAATATGTACCAATTATCCTGTGTTGTGAGTCCATTCTCTGAATTATTGTGAAACATTACTAATACTGCTGGAAGTCTATTTATGAATGTAATCTACATTTTCATATACTTCTCCACAGGGTTTCTTTTCAATATACATGCAATATGCCAAGCTAATATGATTTCTCACAGAAAATTTTCCTATCAGAACTCCTACCGCAATGCTTGGCATGCAATAGTCAGTCAAGTTCTATAGGTTCAATAAAGCAAGCCAACATATATCAGAATTTCCACTGAGAAGAATATGCTAAAAACAGCCAGTGAAAAAACTCATATTTAGAGGGAAAAATATAGAGAAACAGCACTGTAGTAAACAGAAGAACAGAGGTTGAGTTTCTCCACTTGGAGTGCATATATTTGGTAGGGAGTAAGAAAAGCTTGCAAAACCTTTGAAAACATGAAAATAAAATATTACTAGGCATTTTAATTTTATTTAAAGAGTTTTATAATGTTTATGGTAAACAAGCTAATAAGCATTGTTTATTTTAAAACTATTTAAAATTAAATGATTTACATATAAGACTATATTTGAAATGATTTCCAAATCACTAACACAAGAAACTATTCTACCTGTTCACCTATGTAAGTTAACAACCAATAGCAATTGTATTCAGTTCATTCACAGTGGGCCAGATCAGGAACACTACCAGCTAGAGTTTGCTGTAGGGACCTTGCACTTGAAAGAATCTCTCTAAACAATTCAGATAGTTAAAAAAAGAGACTGAATTAGTAATTATAAATCTTTCCACGAAGAAAAATCCAGGTCCAGATGGCTTCAATGATGAATTCTAACAAACAGCCAAAGAAGAAATAATACCATAAGTATAAACACAAAATTCTCAACAAAATACTAGCAAGCTGAATCTACCAATGTATGAAAAATCCAGAAACACAAAAATAAGTTGATGTGGGAATGTACATCACTTTGGAAGACAATTTGGCCCTTTATTAAAAAACTAAACATAATTTTATCATATGATTCAGCAATTATACTCCTAGGTGACTTGAAAACATGCTGACAAGAAAACCTGGTCATGGAATAGTTGTAGCAGCCTTATTTATAACTAGAGGCCCAGTGCACAGATTTGTGCACATTGAAAGAATACTAATTAGAAGGTGGCGGAGGGACTGGGCAAGATGGGCCGCACATGCCCTGGAGCCAACCTCCCACGTGGTACCTCCCTGCCCGTCCCACCTAGGGCAGTGCCTAGGCTTGAAGGGCATCTGTGGATTCAGCGGGGTCCCTCAGCCTGGCCTGCAGGGATCAGGCCAAAACCGGCAGTCAGACATCCCCCAAAGGGTCCCAGAGTGTGAGAAGGCACTCAGCAAAGTTGCAATCACATGGCAGGTCCTGCATGAAGCATCTGCCCCCTGGTGGTCAGTGTACATAACACCGACAGGCCAGTCAGCTAGTCACTTAGCCTTTTATGCATATAGATTGCCAAACCTTGAAAATAATCAAGATATACTTAAACAGGTGAATGGATAAACAAACTAGTACACCCCAACAATGGAATAATAAAGGCTATCAAGCCACAAAAAGACATGGATAAATCTTAAGTGAAAGAAGCCAATCTGAAAAGACTATATATCCTATATGATTCAAACTATATGACATTAGGGAAAAGGCAAAATTATGCAAACAGTTAAAAGTTCAGTGATTTATTGGGATTTTGGGTGGGAGGGAGGAATGAACAGGTGTAGCACAGTGGATTTTTCAGGAAGTGAAGTTATTATTTTATATAATACTGTAATATTAGATACATGTCATTATATATTTGTCCAAACATATAAAATAGAATGTACAACACAAAGAGTAAGATCTAATGTAAACCATGGACATTAGTTAATAATGCTATGCCAATATTGGCTCATCAGTTTTAACAACTGTACTTCAATAGTGCAAGATGGCCCAGCCAGTATGTTGCAGTGGTTGAGTGTCGACCCATGAACTCAGAGGTCATGGTTTGATTCCCAGTCAATGCAAATGCCTAGGTTGTGGGTTCGATCTCCAGTGTGGGGCATGGCATGCAGGAGGCAGCCAATTAATTATTCTTTGTTATCAATGATCACTCTATCTCTCTCTCCTTCTCTTTTCCTCTCTCTGAAATCAATAAACACATATTAAAAAATAGTACAAGATGTTAATAATGGGAAAAATTATGAGCTAGAAAAGGAGGGTATATGGAAACTGTACTTTTTCCTCATTTGTTTCCTGTAAACATAAAATAACTCAAAAAGTCTACTAATTAAAATATTATACATAAAATTGAAGATGAAATGAAGATATTATTAGATAGAAACTGAGAACACCTATTGCCTGTAGAGGCAATACTATTGGAAATTCACCAGGCTGAAACCAAGGGTCACATTAATTTGAGTCCACATACAAAAGAGAAAACTTCAAGAAGCTCAATGAATTCCAAGAAGGACAAACTCAAAGAGATCCATACTGAGAGAAACTGTAATCAAACTTTTGAAAGCCAAAAACAAAAAGAAATCTTGAAAGCAGTAAGAGAGTACAGGGAATCCTTCATAAGATTAATAGCCAATTTAATATCAGAAGCCATGAGGTCTAGAAGCATTGATTTGACATATTTAAAGTGCTAGCAGAAACAAAAAATATCATCCATGAATTCTTTTTTTAAAATATATTTTTATTGATTTTTCACAGAGAGGAAGAGAGAGGGATAGAGAGTTAGAAACATTGATGAGAGAGAATCATCGATCAGCTGCCTCTTGCATACCCCCTACTGGGATGTGCCCGCAACCAAGGTAATACATGCTCTCGACCGGAATCGAACCCAGGACCTTTCAGTCTGCAGGCCGACGCTCTATCCACTGAGCCAAACCGGTCCTGGCATCATCTATGAATTCTATATTTGGGTTCTCATCAAGATGGCAGAGTAGGAGGAAGCCACTCTTGCTTTGTCCTATGACATAAAAATTACAGCTAAATTATAGAACAGTAAACTTGGAGAACCATCTGAAGACTTGTTTAACAGAAGTTCTACAACCAAAGATTTAGAGAAGAAATCATGCTGATATTGGTATGAGGTGTGGATACACAAAATGGACTTGCCCCATATCCACATGTGGCAGTTGAGAATCCAGAGGGATATCTCAGCAGCAGAGCTGCAGAGGCTCCCTTCCCCCTTAAATAGTGAGGGGGTCTTAGTCCAAAACAAGGATCTTAAACCCAGAACACCAATGCCAGGAAGAAGAGCCCACATAACAAATGGTTGTGAAAATCACTGGGGATTCTGTCTACTCAGGAGAGGCAGAAGGCTGGTGAAAATCCAGGTGTCATCTTAAAAAGCACACAAACAGCCAAAACCGGTTTGGCTCAGTGGTAGAGCATCGGCCTGCGGACTGGAGGGTCCCAGGTTTGATTCTGGTCAAGGGCATGTACCTTGGTTGCAGGCACATCCCCGGTAGGGGATGTGCAAGAGGCAGCTAATTGATGATTCTCTCTCGTCGATGTTTCTAACTCTCTATCCCTCTCTCTTCCCCTCTGTAAAAAATCAATAAAAAATGTATATTCTTTAAAAAAACACACACAAACAATGGCTTGAAGGGTCCCATTCTGGGCTCCTGCAAAGGGATGACAGCTCAGCAGGGCCCTAGAGTCATACAGAAATACTAAGTTATATGATTTTAGCATGAGGGATAGAGGTACAGCTGCCAATGTCCCTGTATTGAATCCCCCTCCTGCACAACCCACGGGCATCTTTTTCTGGATTTAGGACTCTACCCACTGGGTATTAGCCTGGTGGGGTATACTAGCTCCACCCTGGTGACTCCCTAAGATGCCTCCCTACCCAATTCCCACATGACCTGAGGCACTGTCAGTAGCAACCAGTCTGGTCCCATATTATAGTATTTATTAAAAAATGTTCGAAGAATTCCACTCAAGCTCGAGGGGGTGAGATATATAGGAAGAAACATTGTATAGCTTCATGTATAGAGCCATCTTCCTCCATTATGAACGGGCATTAACTTACCTATCTTGAGCCCTCCCTCCACACAGTCAAAGCTTAATTTGCATTAGCCTGGTGAACTCTCCTAGCTCCATCCTGAAGGCTCCTTGACACTGCCCAAAATCTATGGGACACAGTGAAAGCAGTCCTGACAGCGAATTTCATAATATTATAGCCTACCTAAAGAAGCAAGAAAAATCTCAAATAAATTATTTAACCCCACATTAAAACAATTAGAAAGAGAACAACAACAGAAGCCCAGAAGAAGAAGGTAGAAAATAAAGATCAGAGCAGAAATAAATGACATAAAGAATTTAAAAAATAATAGAAAAGATCAATGAAACCAAGAGATGATTCTTTGAAAAGATAAACAAGATTTATGAATCTTAAAACCAAGATTGAAGCATAGGGTAGACACCTGAATGCAGCCTACCACAACAAATTTGAATTTAGAACTGGAAAACAGGGGAAACATCACCCTGAAGCACCAGACGGCTGGCTGAGAGGAGGCTCTGCAATCTGAGAAGGAAAGAGAAGGCACGCTGAACCTCAGGAACTGTGAAGGTATGAGAACTGTGGGCGCAAAAACGCAGCCGTCCGATTTCACTGCTGGCTTGCTTCTCGGCTAGCTTTCTTGTTCGGGAGAAAACAGAACCACTCTATTGGGCTGACAGATGACCCAAGACAGAGAGAGG